CTGGGAGTCCAAGAGGCAGCCCTTCGCGACGCTGAGTACGTCGGAGTCGGAACTGCTGGGCTACGTGGATAGCACCGTGATGGGGGAGGGGATCATGACGGTTGTTGTTGCCATGACGGGTGTGGAGGACGAAGGAGTCACTAGGCACTTGAGAGGTGACAATATTGGTGGCCTTCAAATTCTCACCAACCCTGAGGGCAGCTGGAGAACGAGGCATTTGAGGTTGAGATCTCAATTTCTTCGAGAACGAGTTCGTGAAGGTCTATGGAGACTGCAGCACGTGCCTGGGACCGAGTTGTCGGCGGACATGTTGACGAAGGCCATCACGTTGAAGAGCTCTTGGACGACTTTCAAGAACAAGGTCAAGATGGTGGAGATGGAGGACTTGGAAGCTGCTGAGCAGAAGCGATCGATTGCGAAGGTGGCAATTGCGGCGGTCGGCATGGCAGTTCTGAGCACCTACAAGCCCACTGGCGAAGGGGGTCGACAAGCGAAGATCGCAGGAATGACTGCCTTTGCAGCGTATATGGCCTATGAAGCAAAGAAAGTTCTGGGAGGTGTTCATGGAGGAGGCCTTCAACATCAACAACAACCAGCTCTACCTGGACAAGGAGTTCGCATAGCAGCACTTCGAGGTCCCGAAGGAGAAGATGGTGCTTCATGTGTAGAGAGGGGGGAGAGCCCTGCCGTTGATCTACATGGAGATGGTCATCAAGTTCCTCAAGGTCCTCAAGGTAGTGGGAGTGCGGGCCCCAGTCAGCTTTCTGGACATCAAGAACCCCCGGAACCTCAACAGCAAGCTCCTTCTGAACGAAGTGCTGAAGACTCTGAAGGCGCGATCCGGGCTGAGGGAGAAGGTTTGGGTGGTGTTGAATTGGAAACCATGGAGAAGTTGAGGGTAGCTACAAGGGCTCAAGATAGGTTGACAGAGGTGCCTGAACCTGAGGGAGCGCAGGATCTTGCCATGGAACATCAAGGAGAGAAGCAACCACAAGTTGGAGGTGATCTCAGTGGTGAGCGGCAAGTGGAGACGGCGGAGGACAAGGTGCCGAAGCCTGCAGATCCTGAGGATGCTCCTGATGCTGATCGTTTTGTGGTCGGGCATGCTCAGCCTCGCAATCCTTGGATGGAGTCTCAACTTCCTCAACAAGACCAACAAGATCCATGTGAAGAACGCCCGGAGGGAATGCAAGAAGTCCCAAAGGTGGTTCCACATCAAGGAGATCAACATGAAGGACGTCCTGGGGAGTCAGAAACTCCAAGGGAAGTTCGATCAGAACTAGTTCAACCCGAAGGACATCTTGGTGCTCAGTCAGAAGATCCCCAAGGCGGTCCACCTGCAGTTGATGAAGGGCCTCCAAAGGCAAAGGATGAGAGCAAGGAAGCGCTGACAGTCCCAGGGTGCACGGAGTCTGCAGATGAAGGACAAGCGGAAGGGTGCCAAGGAGGTGGTCAGGAAGAGGTGAAGAGCTGTGAACCTCAAGATCATCCAGAAGAGCGTCAAGATGTGGGACAAGAAGCACAGCCAGACCCCAGCAAGGAGCCAATGATGGTTTCAGCAGAAGGGCAACCTGAGCTTCAACCTGTTCAACCCCTACAAGATCGCCCTGGAGAACCTGCAGTGACAAGTTCAAGGAAGTGGTCGGGAAACACTTGCTGGAGGTGCCGACGGCCGTTGGAGAGACATGTCACAAGGACTCCAGAAAGCACGTGTGAGATCTGCGGGAAGAGATCAGGAGACAATGCCGTCTTCTACAGCTGCATCATGTCAAAGTGTGACTTGGACATTTGTCAGGACTGTGTGGAAGGGCGACAAGCTGATCCTGGTGCAGAAGAGCCTCCCGCTGAACATCCTGAGCGAGTTCAAGGTGAAGCAAAGTCAGAGCCGAGTCAGCCTTCGGAGGTTGTGGTGGTGGAGGACAAGTCCGACATCCTTGACGACGTCATCTTGGAGGTGAAGGAGGCTCAGGAGAAAGAGACCAAGAAGGAAGGTGAAGGGGAACCATCGTCTCCAATCACTCCACCGAAGGACAAGAAGGACAAGAAGAAAAAGCACTCAAGAAGACGAAGGAGACGCCAGGAGAGACAGCCACCCGAGGAGGAAGAGCCGGCAGTGAAGACCGACGTGGACCAGGAGGTTGTAGAGGGACAATCGGTAGGTCAACAAGCGGCTGAGACTCCCGAGGATGAGGTGAAGGCGGATCCCAAAGAACCCTCCAAGTCCGGGGAAAAGGTGGAGGTGAAGGAGAAGACGGAGGTGGTCGAGAAGTCTAAGGAGCCGGACCCGGAGAAGAAGGACAACCAGGGACCAGCTGCAGAGGAGGCGACGGCATCAACAACGGCAATCCCTATGTTGATGAAGGCGACGCCTAAGGTGAAGCCCGCTGCATCGACGACAGAGCCCGAAGCTCCAGTACATCCACCAAAGCTGATGGCGGTGTGCAAAACCTGCAAGAAACAGATGCCACCCTACATCTCGGAAGTGGACGGCTACTCGTGCAGCGTGCGCGGTACGGAGTTCAGCAAGGGGACGAAACTATTTGGATGTCGTCCTCATGACTACGACCTGTGCGGCTGGTGTGCGAACGATCCTTCAGCAGGTCCCAGAGACATGCACACGCTAGACAAGGCGAAGGAGAAGCACGAGGAGCAGGCAGCAAACAAGGCAGCCAAGGCAGCAGCGAAGAAGCAGGCCAAGGCAGTCAACAAGAGGAAGAAGAGTGGACCACCAGGAGGTTGGTATGATGGCCCAGGTCTACAAGCGACTCGTGACTTCAACCCCCTCAGGATCCCAGCTGGCCCGGAGAGCAGTAGAATCAGACTGGTCCCAGCAGCTGAGGTCATTGGTGCGGCAACGAGGGAGGACACCGAGGAGGAATCATGGGGAGACAAATGGCCAGCTCCGGAGTCTCCACAGACGTTCACGCAGGAGGACTTGAAGCAGGACGAGAGGATGGAAGTGGAGACAGCTGCACCATCTGAAGGTCCTGTGGTCACCACAAGTTCAATCGGCATAAAGAGCGACACCAAAGAAGAGCAGGGCGGTGGGTGCTCCAAAGCGACCATGGTCTACGAGGTTGAGGATGGACGAGATCCTGGAGCAGTTGGAACAAGGGTCATCAGAAGAGGAGGTCCAAAGGGTTTCAGAGCCCGCAGTGAAGGCAGAAAATGACCCGATGGTGGACCCTACAGCGATGAACACCACTGCCGAGTCGGAAGCTGCTACATCAATGGAGCCAACAGCCACGCCAATGCAGGTGGATCAGCCTGAAGGTCATGAGAGAAGGGAAGGGCATGCGAAAAGAGAGCGTTCCCCTGAACCTGCTCAAGCTTCCACGACGAGCGAAGATCCCCTCATGGAAGAGTTGGACGAGTGGTTGGTGGAATGGCAAGGGGAGTACCCCAATCGAGTTCCTCGAGCTCCTGGTGATAGCACTTTTTGGGATGACCGCCGAGAAGTACACTTCCCACAGGGCTACATCAGCGGAAGTGGTGAATCCTCCATGGACTTCCTACGTCGTGCACGTGATCAAGGACAGTTCGAAGGACTTCACCTTGTGCTCCCGGAGATGCTGTTGGAGACGGTGGCAACGCCCCCAGTGGCAGGGCAGACAGAGCGACTGATGAGAGTGGCACCCAACGGCTTGAGCATCCTTGTGCTATCTCATGGATACAGTCGCCAAGCTCTCTATGAAGGTATGGATGGATACCAGCAGAATCACCAATGGCGAAAAGGAGCAGTGACGATCGCCTACACGGAGGACGACCAGATCCAGCTTCTTGCTTGGGATCGAGGACAACTCCATGGACGGCGACTTCGTAGCAAGTGGGTGGGCTACACGCTCTTGTACATTCCACCACTGCCTCCGCTTCGTGAAGTACGTCCCAAGGCGGCGATGATGAACTACACGGAGATCCAGGAGTTGTGGAAAGATGCAGCCTTCACCCATCCACCGACGGGAAGATCAGATCGGTGGAACCACAACTGGATTGAACAGGGGTGGATGGTGAGGCAGCACGGCGGCAAGAGGCACAGGATGTTTCATCCTCTGCACAAGAACTGCCCCTGGAGCCAGAAAGAGATGGCGACTACGCGGACCACAATAGTGTTCGATTCTGACGGAGATCGGCATGTGTTCCATGATGAGTGGCATGGCCCCATCCAAAGCCCTCCATGCATTCGTCCTGGTGAAGCGTGGAAGGGATGGACCCTCTTCAGGAAGAAGACCAACGAGGAGAGGGACTCCACCAAGGTTCCTGGAGAAGATCAATCTGCAGCATCAGCAGCAGCGGCCAGTGCAGATGTCGTGATTGCCACCGATGTCAGTGGACCCCCTGCTGAACGAGCTGATCTTCCTCCTGGAGACCAACGTCCAGTTGATCCGGTTGCACTCCGCCGTGGTGAGACTTCAGAGTCAACTACTGCCGGATATGGAGGACGTGATCACAGGCAAGCGACTCCAAAGGAGAGGGCTCGCAGCTTCTTCTACGATGACTCCGAGGATGGCTGGGAACAGGTTGGATGACTTGACGGCTGTCAAGGGGGGAGTGTTGGAGAAGAAGCTGTACATGGTAACCTGTTTGGCTACGGCTAGATTTTGAAAAAGATGTACATGCTAAAGTAGCAGTACTGAGAGGTAGGACCAGCCTTCTTTTCACCTTGTCAGGTTAGCTCCTGTTAGGTGACGCTGCTGTCCGATCTTCCTTTAGCTCAAGGACTGAGCTTTAGGCTCACAAGTGGCCAGACGCTCGACGCTGGCTGCTGGTTGGGAAAGGGTGTTGCTGCTTGGCCTCTTGGGTGGGAACACTGAAAGCGGACCTGACCAAAGAACAGAAACAAACCAAGGGCAAAGTTGCTGGTGAAGATCAGACAGCTTTCAGCTTGGAGTGCATGGCCAAAAGAGGCAAGCAAAGCCACAATGAGCGCCTCGACAAACTAAAACCGCAAGGCATGACAAACTACAGGGCGCCACAAGCAGACCACAAAGCACTACCCACAGGCGCCTGAAAGGGATCCCAAAGCATTGAGCAATGCGCTCAGCTTTGGATTTGGCACGAGCCCTAGAGAGGAAAGAAGTCAAACCTTTTTGAAGTAAAGAGGTTTCGTTGACATTTGGACCCTATGAGTTTGACCCAGAATTCTCGGCGCGTGATTTTGACCCGGTCTTCTCAGATGAGCCTCGTTGCAAATCCAAGGCTTCCCCATGGCTGCTCTTCTAAGCTGTTAAGCGTGAAATATTGTCGATATCATTATCAATGAAGGCTATGCCGTGCAGCAATTCTTCACTGAACGCTGAGGTGTTGTCTGTGATTGCGCAGCAGCTGATGGTTCTTTTCGGAGCCCTTTGGCTGCACCCAGCATGATTTGGGTACATTGGGAGAACAACATCCACGGCTATCACCCATTAGGACAAACATCTCTTCAGGTAGGAAAAGCATGGAAGTGTAGCATTCTTTTGGCTTGTACTTTTTGTGCCACCTGCAAAGGTCGGAAAGCAGAGCCACTTGGAGGAAAGATGGGAGAAACTTGAAAGGCTCGGCCAAAGCATACCATGCAGATCGATGGATTGAAAGATTTAGATGTTCTTGTCTCAAACAAAGTGAGGAATGCCTGACCCTCTTCTCATTGATTTACATCGTTGCTTTAGGCTTTGACCAATGGTCTTTTTGGGGTCGAAGCGCGCAGTTGGTGGAAACGTTCCTGGCTGGCATTGAGGCTTGCAAGCTACAATGACACAGTTGGCGTTCGAAGGGACGCTGATTGTTCGGAGCCCAAGGGATAGGTGTCAAAAACAAATTATTCTCGGATCAAAAAATATTTCCGGATCAAAAAACTGTCTCTGATCAAAAAAAATTAAAGGCTTGTACAGGAAGGAAGGAAGGAAGGAGGGAAGCTTTTTCAAACATCACCGTATCTATCTTTGACTCCTTTGATCCATTTATCTACCTGTACCGTCTAATCCATACCTGTGTTCTTCTGCTCACTCCAAGGCTCACTTCTATGTGTTCATCTCTCTGTATATTTATTCGCTTCTTCCTTTTTTCAGCATCATCAGACGACATGGGGGGAGGCGCTGCGCCCTCCCCCCCCAACCCCCCTCCAGCTTTTTTAACATCATCACATCAAAGAAAATATATCTGCATCCATCCATCACTCCTTCAATCAATCACTCTATCTGTTTGTTTGTCTATCAGACTGTCGGTCGTCCATGCAATGATGCAATGTTCTCGTTTCTTTCTTTTCTTCTCTTTACACTTCTCTGCATTTCTCTATAGAATTCTCTACATTTGCGAAGAAACAAATCTAGAGCTGTGTACATGAGAGTTCATGCATGATGCAAAGATGAACATGCAGTGATAGAACTGTGATCCGCAGGCCGCTTTGCTTGAGTAAAAGTCCGCATGGTAGCGGAGCCAGTGATCCTGATCCTTTGGTGACAGGTGAGGCTCCATAGGGGACAGGACCCAAATCCCCACAACACAGAAACCAATCCACATACAAGCGGTGGCCCTTAGGACAAGCCCTTTGCTGTGAAGCCATAGCCCTTTGAGGAGACCCGTTGCCTTGCGCTGCTGGTAGGCGTTTTGAGGAGTTTGGTGAGGAGAAAGAAGGTAGAAGGAAGAAGGAAGAAGGTTTGAGGAGATGGCGAGCCCTACAAGTGCTGCAGGTTCAGCGGCACCAGAAGTTCCTCTCGATGGAGCTGAGATAGCTAGAAGAATGCTGGTGGCTACAGAGGCAGCTACGAGTGCAGCTCAGGCCGCAGCCCAAGCCTTAGCAGATCTTTCATCGAGGCCAAAAGAAGACAGAAGTTGGTACAAGGTGCTTCCAAAGCCTGGAAGCTTTGAGCCGAGAACAAGAGAGGAGGAGTTAGCCCAGTGGAGAGACTTCAGCTGGGGACTTAGTACTTGGCCTCCCTTGACAGCGAGTACGCCGAGGACATCAAGGGCATCAGGCAGAACCCAAGCAGGGAGATGGATGAGGCATTGATGGGTGCTGAGGAGAAAGCTTGAAGTGCGTTCCTCTACAGCCTCATGGCGAGTCTCTTGAAGAACCGCCCTTTGATGCTCCTTCGACAGGTGAAAGACAGCAATGGTCTTGAGGCCTACAGACAGCTGCTGACGTCCTTGGAGCGGGTCTCGAGAAATCGTTCCCTAGGACTTCTCAACATGATCCTAGGTTGGAGTGCCTTTGACACTAAGAAGTCGAATCTTAGCCAGTTGTTGCGCTTGGAGGAGGCCTTCAGGGAGTACGAGAAGACTGGTGCGACCCTCAATGACGAGATTAAGTTCTCAGTGCTGATGCGGTGCATCACGGGCCAGTTGAAGACTTGGCTACAGCTGCAAGTTGCTGAGAGTGGCAGCTACAACGATCCTCGGGAGGCCAGAAGTGGAGTGATGCAATGATCCTTGGACCTTCTGACACAGGAGGAGCAGTGCCCATGGAGGTGGACCGGATCTATGAGAAGGGAAAAGGTAAAGGTGGCAAGAAGGGCAAATCCAAGGATGGCAAGTCCAAAGGCAAAGGAAAGGATGCCCAGCAGAAGGGCAAAGGAGGAGGACAATTCGACAAGTCCTATCAGAGCAAGGGCAAGGGCGACAAAGGTGGTGGACAGGAAGATAAGAACAAGGGAAAGGGCAAGTCCAAAGCATGTTTCCATTGTGGCCGTGAAGGTCACTTGGCTCGAGATTGTTGGCGAGTTCGGCAAGTGTCTGATGTAGCAACTACAGCATCAGCATCCCCTTCAGCAGAAGCTTCGTCGACTGTCGGATCGTCAGCAAGCCAGACCCAGCAGTCACCTAAGTTGACTGTCAAAAGAGTTTCACAGGTTTCACATGGAATGGAAGAGCCCCTCGTTTTGGGCTTGAGGGATCAGAGCTTCGATGAGTGCAGCCGAGTTCGAATGATTCAGTTCTTCAACATGGCTGCAGAGGACACCCCAGATGAGGTGATGAAAGTTCATGCCATTGATGAAGATGGCGGAGATGGAGGATACAGTGACTATGAGTTTGAAGGAGGCACCCAGAAGATCATTTTGGACTCTGGGTCGGATGCGACTATTTTGCCAAGCTCGTTTCTCAGGGCTGGCAGAGAAACCCACGAGAAGGCACTTCGTCTTCAAGATGCTCAGGGGGAAGAGATCTCAATTCGAGGCATGAAAGATGTTTGCTTTGTTTTTGAGACAGAGAATGGCCGTTTGGTGGAGGTTCGAGAGAAGGCTCACTTCGCAGATGGAGTTTCACAGCCGATCATTTCTTATGGCAGGCTGATGGGGAGGCAGGTTGGAGCATCGATGGTGGAAGCCACAGCTTGGTATTTGGCAATGGTGGAGAGGTGCGAATCCCGGTGGCTTTGCAGAACAAGTCCTTGGTGGTGAAGGGCAAGATTAGAGCCATTCAGGAGGTTCCCCAGACGGTGCGCACGCTCGAGGTCCGAAGCTTGGAGATGAGTTGGAGGAGAAGGCCAGTCGTCAAACCGGTTGGCAGATGGAGAGAGGAGCTTGGATTGGAGTGCATCTTTCGAAGCACTACCAGGACCCTCAGCTTGTGACGGGCATTGATCAGAGTGAGAGTTGGAGGAGAACCACATTGGTGAAGGTGAGAGGCAAATGGCATTTGGTGGAGATGTGTGAGCCCATCCTGGGCTTGGAAGATTTCGAGGATGAGGAGCTCGATGAGAACAGCTTGGTCATCACGTTCTTGACCAAGGAGGCAGGAAACCCTGAAGACTGTGGTTTCAAAGTGGAGTCAGATCAGCTCATCAGACCCTTGGAGGTGAAGGACTTTGAAGTGCGCTCCAGTTCAGGGAATGGTGGTGGAGAAGCTGATGGTGGAGAACGCCAGGTGCCTGAGCAAGAAGTGAAACACGTTGAGATGGACCCTGCAGTCCAAGAAGCTGGCATAGTCCTACGTGAACCCTTCCCTGAGAGTGTGGTGGTGAATGGTGTGGTCTTGACTGAGGCCACGAAGTTGAGAGAGCTACGTGCCGCTTGCAGTTTCTTTGGTGTGGGCCAGTCAGGTTCACGTCGTCAGTGCTACCAGAGAATTGTGAGCAAGCTGAAGGAGGTTGAGTTGAAAGCCGCTGCAGAGGTGGTGGCCAATGCCCAACGTGAAGTTGCCCGAGAGCCTCGAGTGCAACCAGTGATTCCAGTGCCTGAGGAGGATGAGCAGGAGCGACATCGGTTGGTGCACACTCCCTATGCTCCTTGGTGTGAGTTTTGCATAGCTCATAGAGCAAAGCAGGATAGGCACTTGAGAAGTGGCAATTCGAAGATCAGCAGCACGCCAATCATCAGCCTGGATTTCTGCTACACGAAAGCTGGGACCACTGTGGAGTCCAATCCAGGAGGAGAAGTTCGTGCTGAGGCAGCCGGAGGTGAAGTTCTGTCTGAGGCTGCAGTGGTGGAGGAGTCTTCGATTCCCCGCGCGGAAGAAGTGAAGCCTGCGCTATGGATGGTGATGGTTTGCAGTCAGACCGGATACCTTGGTGCAGTTCCTCTGAAGTCGAAAGGTCAGATCACTTTGATGGCCAGAGAGATCATGACGTTCTGTCAGAACTTGGGCCATGATGAAGTTGGTTTCTATGGTGACAATGAGCCCACAGTTTGAGCCTTGCTACGAGTTCTTCTGAACAGCCGGCATGCCCTGGGTCTTCGGACGAGGATCTACACAACAAGGGTGCGTGACAGTGCTGGCAATAGCTTGGCCGAGAATGCAGCGCAGCGTGTGAGAGGTTTGGCGTGTACAATGTTGGAAGATTTGATGAGCCGAATTGGAGTGAGGCTGAACTCCAACCATGGCTTGTGGTCTTGGGCTTGCTGGACTTTGAACAGGTATCAGGCCACGAGAGGTGTGACTGGATTCGAGTCTATGATTGGAGGATTAAGATGAAGAAGCTGAAGGAGAACAAGCAGGAGAAGAAGTGGTTGAGGAGATCACGGCTGGTGGCAAGAGAATATGCAAACAGCAAACGGGATGATGTGCATTCCCCGACTTCGAGTGCCCATAGCCTGAGACTCCTTCCGCTTTTGTTTCTCAGTGAACGAGGCCGAGAGTTTTCCCCCAGGCAAGTCACACTTGGAGCCCTGGACGTGAAAGACGCCTTCTTGCAAGTGCCTCAGGAGAATCTCCAGATCGTTGCTGGTGGTAAGAGGTACAGAGTTCTGAAGAATTTGCCAGGATTTGCCAGGCCAAAGGTTGGACGCAAAGGCCTGGTACACCTACTTCACGAACTTCCTGGTGGAGAAAGGCTTCACGTTTCATGCTGACAACCCTTGTTTGGGAAAGTTGTGTGAGGTTGGAGGAAGTGTCTACGTCTTGATTCATGTCGATGATTTGATGTTCTATGGAGATAGTTCTGAAGTCGAGAAGTTCATCCAGGTGCTGAAGGGCAAGTTCGAGATCTCCATTTCACACATGAAGGACGTTGGAGATGAGTTTCAGTTCCTGAAGAGGACCTATAGATTGGAGGAAGATGGCTTGTCCATTCGCCCTGGAAGATACAGTGAAGACATGATCGAGAACTACGAGAAGGCTTATATGGTCCGGTGAAGAGCCAGAAGTTGCCAGCTGAGCCTGAGATCAAAGATGCAGATGGCTCAGACCTTCTTGATCAGGAGCAAGCTTCCTTGTTTCTCGGAGTTTGGTGGGCAGTGGCATCTACCTTGCTCAAGAGAGGTTGGACATTGCCTTCACGATCAAGGAGCTGGCTTCGAGTATGTCGAATCCCACACCTTCAAGCATATGGCTAAGATGAAACGCTTGGT